TTTGACGCAAACTTTGTTCCTGTAAAACTTTTATGTCCTATGTATTTGTCAATGCGGCAGAAAGTTTCGAATTGGAAGATGCAACTGGTGAAAGTATTGTATTACAAGAACAACTTCAACAACAAATAGCTCAAGAACAACAAATGCAACAAATGGAACAACAAAGTCAAGAATAAAAAATAATATTTTTTATTCTTATAAAATGTACAGAATAGATGTTTCAGATTTTATGACTTCCAAGCATTCAGAAATATGTGTCCATTTAGAGACTATAACAAAGCAGTCGAGAATTTGAAACGTTTAGTCATTTATGTCGACTCTGCCCCAGAATGTTATGTTATGAAAGAATGGGATGTAGTCTTTAACAAACCAAGAGCGACAATAGTTTCAGAACAAGAATGTAAACAGAAACTTAAGAAAATAAAAGTCGTACAAGTTGGCATGAAGATGTTAGATGCTTGGGATATCTTATTGTCAAAACTTGAAGATTTTTCAGTTCGTGGTATAAAGTTTTATACACCTTCTCCAAACTTCTATTCTATCTTCACTGGATATAAATATGAACAAGTAGAATGGAAAGAAAATATTATAGAAGCTTGGTTAGACCATGTCAAAGAAATTATATGCAATGGAAACGAAAAAGTTTATGAGTATATCTTATGTTGGTTTGCAAACATCTTACAACATCCAAGTGCTAAAAATGAAACTGCTCTCATTATAATTGGAAAACAAGGAACAGGTAAGAACACATTCTTTACAGATATCTTATGCAAACTGTTTAGAAGGTTATTCGAACCCTAATATGACAAACTTAGAAAACATCTGTGGCAAGTTTAACTCCTCAATAGAGAATATGAAACTTATAGTTTGCAATGAACTTCAAAGTATAGATACAACAAAAGTTTTGAACTCAGATGCTTTGAAGAGTCTTATAACAGACAAAGTTGGAGTTGTTGAAAGAAAGTATAAAGACCAAAGAGTTTGTGAAAATGTTGCAAACTTCATTATGGTTTCAAACAATGCTGTTCCGATGAAGTTAGAAAGTTCTGACAGAAGATATGTAGTTGTCAGAACGTCAGATTCTCATATGCAAGATACAGAATATTTTGACGACTTAGCAGAAACTTTGACATCTGACTTTTACAACCACTTGTTCTCATATTTCATGACATTAGATATTTCTAACTTCAATCCAAGACAAATTCCACATACCGAAGAGAGACAAACATTGTTAGAAGCAAACAAGAGTGTATATGAACTGTTCGTAGATGAAACTGACTTTGTGTCATTAGATGAAAGGTCTTTATATGATGATTATAAACAATATTGTCAAGAATATGGTTATATGGCAGCTTCTAAACGTACATTCTTGGCAAATGTCAAAAGTCTTTTAGATGTTCAGAATGGTGTATATACAAAGAAAATTTTTTCTGAGTAAATTTTAAAAAAATATTTTTTATCCGATAGAAAAAGATGGCAAAATTCATCTCAGTAAATAAGTACATGTCAGGACTTAAAGAAGAACTAGGCCCATTCACATATTTGAATGTTTACTTCTACCATTTTGAAAAGTCTTCATTCAGCAAAGTTTGGAACATCGAACCAGTTAAGTTTGCTATTGTGACTAAAAATGGTGCGAAATTTGAAGACTTAGACATAGAAGGTTTGTTAACAGTCATAGAAAGTTTTGACAGAAGGTTCTCAAACCTTAAAGAAGGCAAAGCATACAAACTTGTTATACCTTATGAACCAAAGAAGACAGACGACTATGAATATTATGAGTCTAAAGTTGTAGAAGTTCAAGGTAAATTGGGTAAAAAGCTATTAGAGTCTAAGCCAGTGTTTACTCCTAAAAAGAAAATTCTAGAGTTGTTACAACTAAACCATTAGATGAACTTTTTACTAATGTCGGTCAACAGTTTGAGACAGATACCGTAAAGCATGAAGGCTATCGTTTTGACTACCCATTAAGATGGTTAAGAGACCCATCTGTCACAAAAGCTATTGGCTTTCGAAGAATAAAGTTTGTGTCTGTAGAAGATAAAAGTTTTCCATTTATTGTAAGGTCTCATATAGATTATACATCTGAAGGGCAACGAAAAATGTGGGAAGAAATTGAGCTAATACACAAGTTGACCTCTCATCTTCTCTACAGACTGCATTAAAAATATAGAAGATAAAATAAATTCATGTTATGCAAAATATGCTGATGAATATGCGAATACCGATAGCAACTTTATGTGAGAATTGTATATGACAAACAAAATTCACAAGTGTCATTTCAAATCTACGAAGACAATCCAAATAAAGACGAACAAATATATAGAATTCACTGCAATGTCATGGTATTATTTGCAAAGAATGTTAAATCAGAAAGTTGAACCTCCTTTAGCAAATATCTACAGTCGATATGCAAGAGATGAACCATATTTATTTAAAGATGTTTTCGACCCAGATGCTATTATTGTTCATGCTTCATTTTCTGGCGCCCAAAACTCTTTCTTATGCTTGGCAAATGACTTTTACGAAAAACCTACAAAGTTATACGAACCACCAAGTGGAAGTATTTCAGACTTTCAAGTATGGTTTACTACAGATGGAAGAAAAAGAATAATTCCATTATACCATGCGTTTTACTTAGAACTTAGTTTCATATACAACACTATCGAACGGTAAAAATATAATTTTAATATACCGGTTGTGGTTGCCAACTTGACTGTGGTGCAGGTTCAGGCTGTTGTATAACAGGAGCTTGTTCTTCTGGTTCAGGGTCTTTAGGTATAATACCAACAAACTGACCTACTCTTTTACCAATATTTTTGACACCGTTCCATACTCCTCTTCTGACAGATTTTATTCCATTCCATATACCTCTTCCAACATTTCGAAAGAAGTTTCCTATCTTACTGAAGAAACCCATTTTACTATATGTAAAAATCTAATGTCCGCCTAGTCTCTTACGTTTCCTGTTGAGTTCCATAGCATTCTTTAACTGGAGCTCATACATTCTGTTTCTCCTCTGGTAGAAAACATATTCTGGGTCAACTCCTGTGTTCGCGTCATCTGCATAAAGTTGTTTATATCCCTCTTCAGGGTTTGTATAAAACTCTTTCCATCTCATATTTGCATACCATGGTGGCAAACCTAACGCAGCGTCATTTGACATGGCAGTTTGCATTTGAACATCTGTTGGCACTTGACCATAGTTTGCCAATGCAGTTTGTATTCTGACTTCATTTGGAATATTTTCAGGGTTATGTGCTCCAAGCTGTGCAACATTTGGTTGACCTTGCGCATCTACTCCTTGCATTTTAATATTAGATAAAAATATCTCTTACGAGTACATATGCTGAACATTTGCAGGCATTGGTTCATCTTCATATTCTCTGTACTTTTCTGCCACGTCAAATAAATAAATGACACAATGGAAAAAACCTAAAACAAGTAGTCCTATTTCAAACCACATTTACTTACTAATAAAATTTCTTTATTGTGACACTTTCTCCGGTTTATAGGACCTCTCTCATATTCTATCTTGTCATATATAAACTCATAGTCATGTATGTCCTCTAACCATCTCATAACGGTTTCCAAACCACTTTTATCGGATGTAAAGTAAAAGCATGGATGGTTATGTATAACGTCTAAAGTTTCTAAAGAGTCTCTCAAAGTCCAGTCTACTTGGTATTGAAAATCCCATGTGTTATAGAACGGCGGGTCCACTATAAAGAAAACATTTTCCTTGTCTTTATATTTTTCATACAACTCTGTCCAATGACATCTCACAAACTCTATACCCTCAATATATTTTTCTATGTCCTCTTTGAAACATTTGTATAGTTAAGATATAAAACGTTTGACATAAGTGTTTCAATGTCATGAACTCTTATAGAACCACTATATAATAGTCTAGCAGATATACTATCCCAGTCTATATATTCTGCTTTTTTCAAAACCTCTCTCACAATATTTTTCTCTATCTAATGTATACGTTCCATCTTACCTATAGGTATCTTTTCTTTTAACTCTTTCAATATATTGTTTGTGTCTGGAATATGTTTGAGACGGTTCATATAGTTGTCGAAGTCATTGCATATAATCTTTGAGTCAGGAAATACGGTATGACATAAATGGGATATATAGAAACTTCCACCGAACAAATCTACAAATGTTAGACCATTCGGTAGTTTCTTAAGTTCTCTCAATATAATATCTTTACATCTACTCTTAATTCCAAAGAACGGTAACGGCGGTTTTGTAAAATTCATTTATATATAATAATAAAACTGTTTTTACCCGAAAAGTGATAGAAAAGTGACAAAACATGAAAACATATATAATTTGTGAAAAGTGACACAAAAGTGACATTTAAAAAGTGACACCATTAATATGATGTAAATAACAACGGTTTTGGTTTTGTCACCGGCTGGTCGGCTGGGGTTCGGTCCTCCTCTTGGGTCTTGGGCAAAATTTCTTATGGGCTAGAGGGCGCAACGCGCCTGGAAGCCCCACTACCCTTTTTTTTCAAAAGGATTGAACATCAAAGTTTGGATAATAATACAACATGTTTGTTTTCCAAAAAATATTCATAATCTATTTTTTCATGTGAAAAATTAAAAAATTGATATTCATTTTCTTTTTTTGAATTTTTTTTGAAATTTGCAACAATGACATAGAACCGAATGAGTATTGCACATTTATTTAACTGCATATGATATGATGAGTTATATGTTTATTTTATACATATATTTTTGATCACAAATATCATACCAAATAAGATGCAATTTTATAACAAATGGATTACATTGTTCACAGATATGATCTAAATTAGTAAATATTGACGAGGAGTTATGATAATTCGATGATTTGAAAATTTACATTTCAAGAAGAGTCATTAATTAACAAGTTTATGAACTTTTGCACTGTTTCATTCAGTATTTCCCTCGTATAGAATTTGAAATAAATTTTTCCTAATTATAATGCTAGAATGGCGTGTTTATTCATATTGTTGGGCGTCTTGCTTTAGATTTTGTTGCACAATATCCGAGCTTGGCACAAATTTGAAGATGGTCCATTCCTGCTTCAATGCACTTTATTATTTCGACAAGGTGATCATCAACAACACTCTTACAAAGTGTACTGTATGGGACTGGGAGTGTTTCACAAAGAGAGTCTAAGTATTCTCTTATTTCACTTTCGACCTTTTGGTCATCAAGACACCTTTTGACTTGAGCAATAATCTTCTTGCAAACATCGCAAGTAAGACCGTTATCTGGTTTGGCAACAATAGATTTTGAACAGAAACCAAGCTTGGTGCAAATATCGGCATGCTCCATTCCGGATTCGAGCCATTTGATGATGATTGGAATGTACTTTTCAACAATGACCTGGCAGAGGGTAGAAACTGGGAATGGGATTGTATCGCAAAGTTGTGCAATGTATGCAGCAATCTCGGCTTCAGCATAACTATTCTTAAGAAGTTCTTCAATTGTTCCAACAACTTTTGTGCACATGTCGCAGCCGCCTCCATTAACAACAGTAACTCCTTGTGTTGAACAGAAGCCAAGCTTGGTGCAAATATCGGCATGCTCCATTCCGGATTCGAGCCATTTGATGATGATTGGAATGTACTTTTCAACAATGACCTGGCAGAGGGTAGAAACTGGGAATGGGATTGTATCGCAAAGTTGTGCAATGTATGCAGCAATCTCGGCTTCAGCATAACTATTCTTAAGAAGTTCTTCAATTGTTCCAACAACTTTTGTGCACATGTCGCATGCGGTGACTTGTACATTGCGGGCCTGGATCATGGAGTCACAATATCCAAGTTTAGTACATATTTGTGCATGCTCTATACCTTTCTCCAAGTAAATCATTATAAGTGGTAAGTATTGCTGAACGAGTTTCACACAGTTTGACTGGTATTTCGTACCTAATATAGAGCAGTACTGAGAAAGCTCATCTGCTATTTCTTGCTCGGTCTTTTGATCTTTAAGTAAATCCTCAATCTTGTCGACAAGAATTGTGCAAATATCACATGAGAATCCATTTGACATTGATTCCTGAATGATGGCCGGGCGGCGAGCCATTCTGGAGACACTTGCAGCAAAAAGCAAAGCAAACATCGCAAATTATGAAAAAATTAACACATGATTCAATTTCCAGGTTACATAAGAGTAATTAATATCATTGTTTTTGGATGAAATTTCAATAATATTTTATATATTGCCGATTATTATGAATTTTTTCGTCATATTTTTATCGATGAACAATGGCCAATATAACTTTGAATTAACAGGACTGTTTAAGGACAAAGTGGTCAACTCAGTATTGTTTAATGGTTGGCTACAATCAATGAATTCAGATTTTAAAGTTCAGCAAATTCAAATTGATGAAGTGAATTTCGATAAAACTGATAATGACCCGATATTTATTAAGTTAAGTACACTTACTACGTATAAGAATCATTCTATCCCTCGAATATTATATTTAATTGGGAATAAAATTGCAGTTATCCCTCTGGTAAAAGTTAATGATCAACTTATGGCTATAGTAGAAGAAAAACCCTATATTTCAGTTGGACAAGTTGATTTAATTATTCCTCAAGAAAATATTTGCAAAAAGAATATTACTGAAAATGATGCCAGGATTGTTCTTAAAAAGCATACACAAGTTACACTACCCGAGACTCGAATTATAAATTTATTCAATTCTTTAAGTTCTGTAAATCAGACCGTAACTACCTTTCCAAGCCCTACAGATCAAAAGCTTTTCGTTTTTACTGCATTTATAAAGGAAGTTCCCAGCCATGCTTTGATTATGCCCTTAGACAAAATTTTATTAAAATCAAAATCTGTTGTTACTAAATACTCAATAACCATGCTTAAAGAATACTTATCTCAGTTTGATTTAAGGCAATCAGATACTCTATTTAACTGATATTACTCCAATATCCGTTTTCCGAATGTACTATCATAACATGGTTCTTCAATGAACACCAGAATTTACAATTTCTACACTTTAGAGAAAAAAAAATTAGATATTCATACTTTTTATGTTATATAAATAATTATTTTATGGATATTTTATTTTATCAGTTGATTGATGGAAGATGGGGAATATTGTGATCAACTTGATCATGAAAATTTAGATATCGGATCTGAGTTTGTGCATTCCCCAATTAATATCGGGTCAACTCCAGAGGATGCTCTTCGACAAATGTCTTATGGTCAAAGCATAAATAATTCAAGTACTTCAAATTCCGAATATTCACTATCGTTAGAAGAGTTACGTAAAAGAATTACATCTAATAAAAAATTACTATTCAAACATAAAATTTGGATGATGCTGAATTATTCACGAACTCACCAAGCCGATGGCAAACACTTTGGACTCTACTGGCATGATAGCATGAATTTTATGTGTAACACTGGCCTTCTAGCAGAATTTTGTAAAAAGAAAAAAAATACAATCAATAGAAACTTGCGAAACGATGGTTTTAACATTGTTGGAAATGATTCTCCAGAAAAAGACTGGAAAATGAGGCGCCACTACTCTAACTTGTTCAATATTAATACAACAGAAGATGAGATGGATTTGCTTCCAAAGCCACAAAAATTAGATGACGAATCTGCAGTTTCTGATATGATTGCTCCAACAACATCATCTCCTGTACAACCACTACCCGAGAAAATTCATGAGGATCCCATTGCAGAAAATTTCAAAAGTGATATTGAAGAAATTCAAAGAAAGATCAAGGCAACAGATATAGAAAAATTGGCATATCTTGATCAAGCAATCAAAGATTGGCATGTTATATCTCCTTATGGTGATAATGTTGACCATCAGCGAATATTAGAACTTGCTGCTGATTATTATGATAACTCCAACCTGCAAAAATCATCTTCAAGTGAAAAAGAAGGTATTGAACTTAATATACAGTTTCTCCTTGAAAATTCTGTTTCCAGTTTTACTCAACAAGATAGGCAAGTAACATTTCCTGTTTACTACAAGTTTTTCCTTCGATTTGGACAGATTTCTAATTCTTTCCAAAATTTACTCCAAGTTTCACATTTTTCTGATCAATTAACTGACATTGATGCAACAAACTTTATATCACAACAGTCCCAAGGATCTTCATGCAGCTCATTTCGTCGTTGGTTTTTCCCAGGAACTGAAATGGTTAAAACATATCTTGAACAGTCTGCCTATCATACTTGGGCTGTCAAGCTTTCTTCAACACTTAATGCCTTTTCATTTTGCAAGCTCATTCCGTCAACGGGAAAAATAGAGTTTAAACATATCATTTTCTCTCCAATTGACACCAATAACGCATTTACCCTTATTGATAGTGGGGAGTCTTTCAAATCACTTCCGGAACTCTTAGAGAAATGTTTTAATGTTTGTACATCTAACTAAATATTTTTTATAACTATATTTTTAAACTAAATACCCCCTTCATTTTTTTTTATATTTCCGGTAGAAATCTAAAATGTTTCCATTACTCATCTTATCGCTTAAGATTATTGAAGATGATATTAAGATACCAAAAGTACTTATAATGAAAGACGAAGAAGTTAAAAAACTATGTGCAGATAACAAAATGGTAGTCGTTTATAGATGCTCGCAGTATAATACAGCATCTTTTCAACCTTTCATGGAATCGCAATCTCTTTTTGATTCATCAATCAAATTCGTTGTAGTTTTTGACAATTGTTTACCAACTCTCGAATTTTATTCTTTTAATAACTTACTTGTTACATATTCACCTGTTTTTGGCGAACAAATTATGCTATCATGTATGAATTTAGCATTAAAATCAAATATTACAGAACTAAAAACAAGAAACGAAGTATTAAGTTATTTTGGCCAAACCGACTTTACAATAGTTGGACCACTTTCAGATTCTACTAAGATTATAGATTTGGCATTCAGTCATACATCATATAAATCATTTTGTGGCTACGTTTTTGCCACAGATATTGTTCTCGAAAGTTTCGGCTTAAATAAAGGTCAATATGGCGTGTATCATAAAATAGATGACGAAATTATATCTTTTGATGCTTCAAACGAAAGCATAAACAATGTTTTCAAACCGAAATTTGATTTTTTGACGTTTGATCAGATGAAAAATAGTAGCAAACTTATCTTTCTCCTTCTACGTGAAAATATACATCGAAATCATACAGAATTTATGGCAGACCTTTCAGAAAAGTATTATCAGTTCGAATACTCTTTTGCTCAAGGTGATGATATTACAAAAATAGGTCAATTCACCCACCTTTATCCACCATTTACTTACAATGCAAGAATCCTCATTCTCAATATCAGCGGGGGTTACTTCTTTAATTCAGAAGATTTTATTGGAGACGATATTCGGAACCAGTACTTTGAAATTAAAAAATGGGAAGTAACAGCAGAAAAATTTATTGAAGCTGTAATTTCGAAGAATGCTACGAAAACGTATAAATCAGAATATGCACCAAGAACTTTTGGTAGCAGTCTAACTAAAGTTGTTGGTACTACATATAAAGAATTCTTGAATACTTCAATTTCAGATGTAATCATGTATTATGCGAAAGATAATCAAGTTTGCCGAAGATTATTCGATTACTATGTTGCGTTTGCAAACAAGATAGGAAAGAAATGCAAAATTGGTTTCATTGATGTGGAACAGAACGCAGTTGAAGGTGGGCTGCATGTTTCGGAAAGCGATGCACCTAAAGTTGCATATTTCAAAATGGGTCGAAATGATCCCGTTTTGATGAACGAAGAAATCAATATTGAAAACTTAATGAAGTTTTATAATGACCAAAAGTATGATGAATTGTAAGTAAAAACATATAAGATTATCTCAATAATTTCCTTTTTTCCACAATTTTAAATTGTTTCCTTATTTCTTCGAACTTATAATTTTTTAAAAAAATGGATATGGAGGGAATCGAACCCCCGGCCTGGGCTATGCGAAAGCTCCACTCTACCACTGAGCCACATACCCATAACATTAGATTGTTAATCGAATTACTAATGATAACCAAAATGCTATTTTTCTATAACAAATTTAATAGATATTCAGGTGATAAATTCTGAAATATCTTAGCTTAATTTCTGCTTTATTATGGAATACTGATCGTATATTGTGTCCTCTGCACTAATATTCACTAAATTATAAAACAGTTAAGATCAGGTTGAAAGTTACAAGCTCTCAATTTTCGTCCCTTTTGTACGTTTATTATAATTGTAGCATATTGTCATCAAGCACGCGACTAACCAGCAAAGACGTGTCCTCTAATTCCGTCCCGAGTTCAAGAATCTGGAACTATTTAAGCAAAAACATTCGATTTCAAAATCAAGCATTCTTTGTTCAACGAGTAAAACATTAAAGTATGATTTGTCATACACGGAATAATGACAAGCTCTTAGAGTATGTTTAGTACAGAGTTACTGCCAACTTGAGTTCTTGAATTTGGTAAGTTAGAACAAAAGAAGCCATATGTCGCATCTAAGGACTTGTACTTATCAGAGTATTACTAAATGTTTAAGAATGTTAGTTATTCGTCCCAAACTCGTACGTTTCCACGCGAATCTTGATAATAAATATACTATTTTGGACTTTTTGCAATAAATCTCTTTTTACCACATTAGCATATCTGTGTGTATGCTACTTAACCTCTTTAGAAACCATTAAGATAATGTTTTTTGATACTTTTTCAAGACTATGCCATAAAGTAAACGAATAATTTACAAAATGATATTAAAAAATTTAATTTTATTATGCTTTTATAAATATTGAGACTTTTTAGGACTATTTTAAAAATGTAAATAGATCAATCATTTTAATATTAGATAAGATAATCTAAAGACGTCAGATGTTTCAATAACTTCAGATCAATGACTAATATGAAATTTAAGATTTGTGTTAATTTAAGAATTAACAATGGAATCTGGTTTAGAAAGATGGAAAGCATAGAGAATCTAATGGATAAGAGAGATTAAATACAAAATGCTGCATAAAAAGGCAGATCAGTGAGAAGAAATCATGAGGTTAAAAAGGAACATTCAAATTAGAATATAACATTGCATATTACAATATTAATATTAAAGATAATACTGCACATCATTGTGCAATTACACTATTTTAAATATTTTCATAAATAATGACTTACAAGTTAAAAAATGTAGAATTAACTGCATGATCCAATATTGGACCGAATGTATGTTTGAATCTATAACTGAATTCATTAATGACAAAAAAGTGACTCTATAACTGAGTATCTGGCTGACAATATGTCTGAAAGTTTGAATGTGTCTAGGAATATAACTGACAGTTTGAGTGACATTTTGAATGAGGGTTTGGTTGTCAGTATAACTCAAGGTTTGAGAGAGAATATGACTCACAGTTTGACTGACAATATGACTTAGAGTTTGAGTGACAGTATAAACAACAGTTTGGGTGATAGTATGAACTACAGTATGACTGAGAATATGACTGACGGTTTGACACACACTATGACTTACGGTTTTAGTTAGAATAAGACTGACAGTTTGACTGACAATATGACTTCGGTTTGACAGACACTATGAATTAGCTTTTTATTGAGAGTAAGACTGACAGTTTGACTGACAATATGACTTCGGTTTGACAGACACTATGAATTAGCTTTCTAGTTAGAATAAGACTGATAGTTTGACTGACAATATGACTTCGGTTTGACACACACTATGACTTACGGTTTTAGTTAGAATATGACTGATAGTTTGACTGACAATATGACTGTTGATTTGAGTGAGTGTATGATTGAGAGTTCGGGTGACAATATGACTCATAGTTTAAGAGAGTGTATGACTGATGGTTTTAGTGAGAATAAGACTGACAGTTTGACTGACAATATGACTTCGGTTTGACAGACACTATGAATTAGCTTTTTATTGAGAGTAAGACTGACAGTTTGACTGACAATATGACTTCGGTTTGACAGACACTATGAATTAGCTTTCTAGTTAGAATAAGACTGATAGTTTGACTGACAATATGACTTCGGTTTGACACACACTATGACTTACGGTTTTAGTTAGAATATGACTGATAGTTTGACTGACAATATGACTGTGGTTTGACTGACAATATGACTGTTGATTTGAATGAGTGTATGATTGACAATTTGGATGACAATATGACTCATAGTTTAAGAGAGTGTATGACTGATGGTTTTAGTGAGAATAAGACTGACAGTTTGACTGACTATATGACTGACGGTTTGACTGACAATATGACTGAGAGTGTGAGCGACAATATGACTGCTGATTTGAGTGAGTGTATGACTGACAATTTGAGTGACAATATGACTGTGGTTTGACAGACACTATGAATTAGCTTTTTAGTTAGAATATGACTGACGGTTTGACAGCCTCTATGACTTACGGTTTTATTTAGAATATAACTGAGAGTTTGGGTGACAATATGACTCATAGTTTAAGAGAGTGTATGACTGATGGTTTTAGCGAGAATAAGACTGACAGTTTGGGTGACAATATGACTATTGATTTGAGTGAGTGTATGACCGACAATTTGAGTGATAATATGACTTCGGTTTGACAGACACTATGAATTAGCTTTTTAGTTAGAATAAGACTGACAGTTTGAGTGACAATATGACTGACGGTTTGACAGCCTCTATGACTTACGGTTTTATTTAGAATATGACTGAGAGTGTGGGTGACAATATGACTGTTGATTTGAGTGAGTGTATGACTGACAATTTGAGTGACAATATGACTTCGGTTTGACAGACACTATGAATTAGCTTTTTAGTTAGAATAAGACTGACAATTTGAGTGACAATATGACTGACGGTTTGACACACACTATGAATTAGCTTTTTAGTTAGAATATGACTGACGGTTTGACAGCCTCTATGACTTACGGTTTTATTTAGAATATAACTGAGAGTTTGGGTGACAATATGACTCATAGTTTAAGAGAGTGTATGACTGATGGTTTTAGTGAGAATAAGACTGACAGTTTGAGTGACAACATGACTGACGTTTTGACTGACAATATGAGTGACGGCTTTAGTTAGAATATGACTTAGAGTTTAGCTGACAATTGGCTGACAGTTTGAGTGACAATATGACTGAGAGTTTGACTGACAATATGACTGACGGTTTGAGTGAGTGTATGAATGAGAATATAACTGACGTTTTGACTAACAATATGACTGACGGTTTGACATCGAAATTCATTCATATATATGTATTGATCAATGCAATCACCCTATTTAATAATATTATTTATCAATTAATTTTTCATTACTACATGCTCTCAATTATTATGACATTAATATTTATCAATAAATATTTCATTACTATATGCTCCCACCCAATTTGACATTATTGTTCTTTGACAAATTTTTCTTTATTAAAGACACTCTCACAAATTCATATCAATATATTTTAATTATCACCTATTCCAATCCATTTTCATATTCATATTCTTATTGAGTTAGAATAAATTGAGGATGACTGAGAATCAAATTATAATTAGTGAGAATCAATTGAAGAATACTGGGAGTTAATTAAGGTTGTTTAAGAATAAATTGTGAATAAGTGACAATCAATTGAGGATGAGTGAGAATCATTTGATTATTAGTGAGATTCAACTGAACATCAGTGAGAATCAATTGAATAATACTAAGAAGAAATTGAGGAAGAGTGAGAATCACTTGATTCTTAGCGAGAATCAATTAAGGATGAGTAAGAATCAATTAATAAGTAGTGAGAATCAATTTAGGGTGACTGAGAATCAATTGATTCTTAGTGAGAATCTATTGATAATTAATGCGAATCAATTGATTATTTGTGAGAATCAATTGATCAGTAGTGAGGATCAATTGATTATTTGTGAGAATCAATTGAAGATGAGTAAGAGTCAATTGAGGATGAATATGTGTCTATTCTGATATGACTTAGTATCTACTGAGGCTAGATGCTAACATCTTACTTTTATGATCATAATTTTTCAACTCCATTAATATTTATAACAATATTTTGATTACTATTTAAATAATTTTATCAAATGATAATTATTAACATATATTAAGAGTATGTTTAATTTTCAACATACTCTTAAAAATCCGAAATTTTAAAAAAGTGACAATTTTTTTAATGCTAAACCATCTTCATCTACCATTAAATGTTTCGGATGATTTGATTTTAATTCAGTTGGGTTCTATTAGATGTAATAGTGTAAATTCTGATTCAACAATTTATCCAGATGGGTATATTTCAAAAATTTTATATTATTCTTCCAATAAACCCTATCAAAAAGAATGGTATACAAATAAAATAACTTATCAAGATGGTAAACCTAAATTCACTGTTTTGGATTCATTATCAAATGCATATGTCGGAGATTCACCATCATATCCTTGGGGACAAATCGTTTCAAAAATCAAAGAATTAAACAGAAATATTAAGAATGTATATAATTTTGGACATAAATTATTTGGATTTGAAAATAAATCTATCATTTGTTATTTGGAGGAACTCAAAGAGCGTTTTATCTCGAATAGCGATGAAGTAAAGTATCTTCAAACATATGAAACAACACCTAAATTTCAGAAATCCGCTGAAGCTTTTACAGAAATGGTAAATATTATTATAAGTGAAAAATATTTGCAAACAGATCTCAGTCAAATTAAAATCAAAATCCCTCGTCTAGGGGAACAATATATTCTTAAATTTTTAGAAGCATTTATAATTGCCCGCCTCAAATTTTATGCACAGGTTATAGGTTTCTTACAAAATTTTTCATTTGACCAGGAATTATACTCAAAAGCAGGAATTTCTAAACCATTAATACAAGCAATAATTAATGGCGATAAAAGATATTCGAATATTTTTGCTTTTTCAGGAAAATCATGTGATTTAACAATCGAAGATTTTATTAATGTTTTAATTTCAGATCAAACAAATCAAAATGGTGAAGAATATTATCAA